AAAAAAAAAAATTACCTTGTAGATCATACATGAAATCCATACATGCATTAAAAGCCATTTAACAGACCAAATTTTAATAAAAGGTACATATTGCCAAATGCATTTACCTTACTTTGTTTCACTAAAGGAGAAATCCCGCTAAAGGACTTTAAACTAGATAGGGTATGACACGACACGACAAATCCAATTTTTGTTAACACAACAAACCAGGCATCTTGTACGTGAGATTGTACCCTCACTCGTAATGCAAAGCAATGTCTGCATGATTTTTCAACCTACAACATCTTTTGACTTGATAGGTAAATTATGTTATTAACCAATCAGAATCTTGTGTTGTACCAATGCAATTCTGAGAATAAATGTATCACAACATGGAAGTGAATTAGAGAATTATCAATATACATGTCTGATCTATTGAAATTGATTTTGGTGAAAAGACAGCATGATTTTTTTTTAAATTGGTAATTTTTAAGTTTCGAAAGGTAAACTAAATGTAAAAAAGAATTAGTTAGTGCCCATCACGATCAATAACAGGTAATAGTCAACATGTAGTTTTCCTGTTCACACCAAATTCACATCAGTTGCTATCAATGCTGTATATATTTAGCTACCTGTATCAGAAGTGTCAAACAATGTTCATAAACTAGATTTTATGACTAAATAGTTTGGTTAGTTACGCAAGGAATAGGCACTTAACCAAACATAGGAAGGCCCTAAAAGTTGGAGTAGGGTACTTAGTTGAGTATGGTGCTATATCAGATGAGTACTTGATGAGCCTACTCTAGAAGTTTTCACATCCAGACATCAGAAGTACAAATATTATCTAAAATATAGGACTTTTATTGGTTAACAATACATTGTTTATAGCTGCAGTACTGAGATGACATACTGTTTTGTATCACCAGTAAGGTTATTTTGACCATCATGTTACTGTAAAATACTGTATTCTCGCTTGCAACTAATTTTTGCTGAAGGAATAATTCAGTCAAATAAAATCCAGCGAATGTACCTGTTTTTTCTATATTTTACATTCAACTTGTCAAAAATCAGTGAAAATAAATTCCATACAAAAACCCAAGAAGTCTTTCCAGTGAAAATTAATTCTAGCTAAAAAGTATTTTAGAGTAAATAGCTACAGAAGTGAAGCAATGCATCTAGGAACAGCAATGACTCATAAAAAGCGATTGCAAAGCAGTGATTATTAGATTTTGGATTTTATATTTAGCCCAGATTAGTGTATTTTTTTTCAAATAATTTAACGTAATTTGTACTTTGTTATGAATGGCAAGCAACATAAATTGTATATTGCGAAGAAGGGTTAAGATATGGGTAAACTATGGAAATTTGTGTTTGTCATGTTGTATCCTATTTAACTAATTAGTATGAAAAATGGGATGAAAGTGTTCATGTCTGTTATGTATGGATTTCATCAGACGTCATTTCACAGCTGTGTTTTTGGAAAGTGTTCAAAAGTTGGTACAAATACAAGACATAACGATAATGGTACTTGTTCACATCATTTTGTTTTACCTTATCTTGTCATTTAGTGGTAATTTTTGTCCAAAAGATCATTCAAACTTGGTTGGACCTCTGACGATATCTTCAATTCTCTATTTTTAGTAAAAAATGCTATTTTCGACTTTTTTGAAAACTACCAGTTCAATTGCATTGATATGTTATATTTTAGTACATTGGGTGATTCCTATCAGATTTGATTTGCCAATATCATTTACAAGTATACCCTATTTTTTGCAAATATTGTATTTTTTGGTAAAAAAATTATATTTTTGAATTCTTCTTGTACATTGCCAATTATTTTTGTGAACGATTTTAACAACCAAAACCAAACTACTTTTTTGTGGGTGTGTATTGCTTAACTTCGCTACCACAATGTTCTTGTAGGACAGCAGAGCCAATTTTTTGTTTTTTTCATTCATGAGTTGGCTTCTACATTAACTGACTGGCAGCCATTTTGTTTACTCTCTAAATCATTTGATCAATTTTGTTACAATGAAATTTCATTGATATTCATACCTCTGTTCTCTCAAATCTAAATTTCACATAATATAAACAGGGACTAACCATGTCATTGACAATTACTTGTCAGGATAACAAGATATAAAAAAGAAATGCAATGTCATCAGTAACAATATAACATTATAAAGCCAAATGGAAAAGATAACATGGGGCACAACAGGAAAGTGACTGTACAAACACAACTACAAGACTGGGATCATACTACAAATAACTTTATTGATAATTTTTGTTCATTTAGGTCGCATTGAGATGAATGCTCATGCCCAGAGTCATAAACCACGCAGACAACTTGCTCGCAAATCAACTACCAAACCTGCTGGTTTTGAAGCCAAACTCTGTGCTGCAAAGCGTTTAGCTGTTTCCTTACCTGATAGTGATACAACACCTCGAAAACGTTCTACATCACCACTAACTGATCCTGGAAAACGTTCAGCTTCCCCATTGGATAATACAAAACTCAGTTCTTCACCAGTATTTGATTCTGTTAAACCTTTTTCTGACAACACTAAAACTATTACAGATGAAACTGACTCTACCAGGTCTCAGTCCCCTACCTTAAGAAAGTTAACAAAAACCAAAGTAGTCAATGGTGATATTACAAATAATAAGCTAGACCTTTGTAATGGAGATGTTGAAAGAAAAAAGTCAACACTTGGTAATGGGGCTGTGAGAAATGAAGAGAATCCACTCGCCAAAGTATCACAACCTACAGTTCACCCTGCTGTAAAAAAGCTCCAGAAACCCCATACTAGGTCTAGAAGTCCTTCACCGTCACAAAGTGCCAACCACACAAATTCAGCACCATCCCAAAATGGCTCCTCAAACATCATTCTAACTGCAGACAATGGTAGCGACACTGACGGCCAATCTAATTGCTTAGTGGAAACATCCGTCAGAAAATCTACTCGACTGTCAACCTCTCCCTACTGTAGAAGTAAACAAGTTCCTGACTCCATAGATGTTCCTAATTCTAAGCTTCCTGATAGCAAAAAAGAACATTCTGAAGAATTGTTAAACAAAGATAAGCAACCTACCTCGACAAACGATAATCAGTTGAAATGTAACGAACAGGAAGGACCTGATGAATCGGGCAGAAGCTCCCCGGAAACAATAGACCTTATTGATTTAGATAATGCTCCTGTAGAAAAACTGTTTACAACAAAGGCTCTTAGTGGTATTTCAAAGCTAAAGAAAACACTATATTGTTCTGAGAAATTAAAATCTGTTGTCAATAAAGCTGTTAACTCACTGCAACTCTCAAAGGCTCTAAAAAATGTAAGTCCAGTGCCTGAGGAGGCTGTTAAAACTCCAGGAGAAGCTGAAATACAAGATCCAGAACTCACACATGTGATGCAGTTGGACAAAATGAACAATCATGTCACTGACAATGTTGAAATAAAAAAATCTGAGGAGGAAGGAGACTTAGAAAAGAACCAAGACTGTAGCAAAGTTAAAGTTAACGATAACCCACGGTTGGATAACAGTGAACCACTATTGGTTAAAAATAGACTAACTGATATTGTAGGAAAGCAAAGTGAAGAAAAACAATTGCTGACTGATACTTCAGAAAAGCAAAGTGAAGAAAAACAATTGTTTACTGATAGAAAGCAAAATGAACAGAAACAACTTCTAACTGTTAAAAACATAGAGATCATAGACAAGATTGAGTTGGAGAAAAGTGAAGTTAGCAAGCTATCCTTGCAGGAAAAAAAGGTTGAAGAAAAAGTCAAACATATACCAGAGACAAGTGCAGAGATAGACGATGAAATTAAAGGTAATGTGAGTAGCAAACAGGATGTGAAAAATAATGATTTGAAAAATAATATAGTAAAACAAATACAGGAAGTAAATACAGTTGGCAAGGACAACGAAGGATTGGAGAAAAAGAATACTGAAATGGGAGTGATGACATTTAGTGATATTGACAAACTTTTAGCAGGGGAAAAAGAACCAACTGTGACACAAAAGTCCAGTGCAAAGGAAATTGAATCACAACATAAACAGTTACCGTTAGTTGCTGTCAAAGATGATCACAATTCGCAAGTGAAGGGAGTTGAATTGAAAGAAAAAACTGCACTGGAGGGCAAACCTAATGAACCAAAAACAGCTAAAAAAGAATCTTCAAACACAATTGAAAAACCTGATGATAGTATAGACATTGGTATTGATGAGGATGTCAGTATAGTTAGTGAAGTACATAGGAATGATATCTTGGTGTCAGCAGATGAAGTGACACTAGTTGGGAAAGAAGATTGTTCAACGTCAAAGCAAGAGGGTATTGATGAGCAACCAAAAGAAGAAAAGAATATTGGCAATATGAATGGATTACAAGGTAAGAAAGAGACTGCCTGATGACTACCTTTGGTCTTTATTAACTGATTTAACCACAATATTTTAATTCTTATCTCGCATACGCAATTATCAAAAACAGCATGGAAAGTCGTTGCATTGTTGACCATAGCCTAGGACATAAATTATACAAACATGTGGTACATGAAATTAGCATAATCTTGCCATGTCAATACTGTTCCATTTCAGAATATTTCATCACTATGAGTAAATGAATTTTAAATGCTTACCCACTTCCAGTTGAATATTTCTGTATGTTCTTTCAGATGAAGCTGTAGTGACAGAAGAAAATGGAGATGTAGAAATGTTAGATGTAGAAAACAATTCTAAGATGAAAGATGAAAATCAACCGGATGATTCAAAAAATAGCATGAAAACAGAATCCATGCCACCACAACTTGATAAAATAAAAAACTGTCATGACGACGCACAACAAATCAAAATCACTGTTGAAAACAGTAGTGTAGATTCTCCAGATATTGCTGGTGTATCGACAGAACAGAAAGTCAAGCGATCTGCGTCGCCCCTTCCATGTGAAGATACAAGAGAAGCGAAAAAAGCTAAATTATCTGGTTTGATGAATCATGTTGACGATAATAAAGCATCTTTGAGTAAGAGTAAGTTTTTCTTTTATTATTGGTGCTATGGCTGTCAATGTTTTATTTTAATTCTCTTGTTTTTTCAAAAGCAGAGTCCTTAAAGAGTTATTGTGTCTTTGTTCTGAAAATAAAGAATGACATGATGTAGTGTTTTCAAAAAGAATTTAGGTATGCTTCATTAGTGTTGATACTAGTTACATTTTCTTGTACATTTTGGTCAGAACAACATAAAACTCCTGTCATTTTAACCCAATGTACCAAAGACATTTTATATTATGTTAATCATTGATTGTTTTTCATGATACAGAGGCAATAGAAGAAATAATAGCTGCACAGAAAAAGGTAATATCAACTGCTTAGTAGACATTTTTAGTCCCCGTTCGGGCGCAGTCCAAAAACAGGGACTTATGTTTTGGTTTCTGTGTGTCTGTGCGTCTGTGCGTCGGTGCGTGTGTCCGAACCCGTATCTTAGAAATGCCTGGACCAATCACAATTATACTTCACACATACATCATACATGATATTATACATATGCACATCAATTTGTTTCACGATCTGATTCAAGATGGCCTAATGGCGGCCATTTTTGTTCTAAAAATCATCAAAATCAAGCATTTCTCTCGGCTGTTTACAGATGGATTTTGTTCAAACTTAGTATATACTTTGGACATTAAAGGACCTTGATGCACATCCTTTTGTTTTCAGATAAGATTCAAAATGGCTGACTGGCGGCCATTTTGTTTTGATAAATGTGGTCCTAGTGCCATATCTCTGACTTGCTGTGACTGATTATGTTCAAATTTCATATAGATATACAGATATATTCAATATTTGTTTGACGTTCCTATTAAAAATGGCCGAATGGTCCCATTTTTGTGCTAAAAAATCGTCTAAATCGAGCATTTCTCGGCTGTTTAGAGTTGGATATTGTATATACGTTGGACATTATGTTAATATGTTCCAGCTATATTACTATAAACAAAACTATACATCTTAAATTTGATAACTAACAGGGACTGTGCCATGCATGGCTTGTTTAACTTAATTTAACTTGTTGAAGTAAATATCACCATGTTGTAAAACTTGTAACTCTTTTGTTAATGGCTACTTTGTGGAATGAAAATGCATTAAAAAAAATGTTCACTTTAATTAAAATGCTAAACAATGTCACCATTATTCATGAAATTCCTCATTGGGTTTTGAGCAAATGTTTTTATTTACCTACCTAAAACTTTGTGTAGGTTTCAAGTAGAAGATTTTTTAGTGAGCTAACTTATGTATTATTTAATTGCAGGAAATATATCAGCATATATTAAAAGTCTGTGAAGAACACAGAATGCATGATAAAGCTACTATTACTGCATTGAGACGACAAGTCAATACATTGTTGGATCAGAATAGACAGTGGGAACAACGAGTGAAACAGCTGAGAACAAACACGCAGATGAAAGTTAAAGAACAGGAGAGGCTGCAAATGAAAGCACTGGTATGTCACAATAGACTAATTTTGAGTTGCTTGGTTGCTACTCTTATGAGTTGACTCCCATGTCTGTGTACACGTGTCTGTCTGTTCCTGTGGAGCCATTTCTTGAACATGCGTTGACTGATTTATTTCACATTTGCTACAAAGCAATTTAGACATGGCAAAAGGCTTAATTCTAATCCTGCTACTTGAAACTGGTCGACAATCAATTTTTGAAGATAGACTGGTGCATGTCATTAGTAATAACAATGGTTGTTTGTTTGTTATGAGGGACACTAAAGCGTTTCTGTTGTTCGCATGTTTGCAAAGATGATCAGTCAACATGCATCAGTACAGTTGATTGGTTGATGCTTATTTGCAGTAGTACATAACTACACTCAAAATTACTACTAGATAGTATCTAGTTTGCAGACACACACAAAAATATACACTTCCATTTTTCTACCACTGTGAGTCTATGTATGTGTGATTTCTTACTTGCCACATACTAACAAGTCCAAGCTTCCATTCAGGCAGCAAATTGACTTTAAAATCATAGGAGAAAGATTGTCTTGTGGGTAGGTTTGCTTGTTACTTTTCAGCTTTCATTGTAGGTGCCAGTGTCCTAATTTTCAAAAATATTCACAATAAAAAAGCCTCCATACATTTGCAAAAAGAATGTAGTTATATATAACCATAATGCTCAATTAAATCCAGTGACCTGTGTGGCGCAGTGGCCGCAGTGACCTTTCAATGTATGATCTTGGCTCGACCATAAATGCAGTGTAGTCGAATTAAACCATTATGTGTTTGCAAAAAAAAATTTGCAATTATTTTTTCAGATGCCTAAAAGAGTGGTCCAAAAGGAATACAGATCTCTTGGTGTGCAGGTAGATGTGCTGAAAAGTCGACATCTGGACAAAATGTTTGATATGTCGTCAATGGGAGCTGCCCATCTGTCTTCAAAGACGCAGAGTACACAGGCAGTTTCTACCTCTTTTATTGCCAAAGCTCCACAACCACCACAACAGGTATTTTTAACAGCAGCAACTATTATAGCAAGTACAGTAATTTTATTTTACTATTGTAGAGGGAAAGGTCTGGCGATGTATCTTATCATTATAATTCTTTACTTTCTATGTATGTACATTAATCTACTAAGTGTTGTCTTTTCGTAGGCATTACCAAGTGCTTCGGCAGCTGTACATCCTGCTATGACAACGACTACAGCAATCCCTGTGACAACTCGCTCAACACCCATCGTTTTAAACACAATTGTTGTGACAACAGTTGCAGCTATTGTGCCCAGTCAAGCATCACAACTTGTGAGCACTCCCACTACAAGCACTGCATCAATGCCACCTGCAAAGCTGACATCCATGTTAACAACACCATCTATGGTAATGCAAGTAAGTAACTTGTTCCTTTTAGAATTTTTATCTACTGTAGAGGGGGGACAAGGGGGGTGGTGGTACAGTTTTACAGGAAATAAAAAAGGCTTTTTACAAACAAAAAGACATTTTTACAGTTTACAGTGAAACTTGAATTTTGCAGTGAATTGTGTCATCTAGTCATTTTACAGTTTCAAAAATGTAATTTCCTAGATAATTCTTTACGACTTTTTTTATTTGGATGTAAATTCTTGTACGTACCGAGAAAAATGACACATTTTTAAAGTGTACGAAAAAAATATTTGATTGATTACGTCGTACGTCTAGCCTGT